CATTGCTGTATAATGTATTGATGGGAGTTGTAGTCCTCTATTGCTGGTGGTATTCTGCATTGCTGCGTAATGTGTTGCTGGGAGTTGTAGTCCTCTATAGCTGGCGGTATTCTGCATTGCTGTATGATGTATTGTTGGGAGTTGTAGTCCTCTATAGCTGGCGGTATTCTGCATTGCTGTATAATGGATTGCTGGGAGTTGTAGTCCTCTATAGCTGGTGGTATTCTGCATTACTGTGTAATGTGTTGCTGGGAGTTTTAGTCCTCTATAGCTGGTGGTATTCTGCATTGCTGTATAATGTATTGATGGGAGTTGTAGTTCTCTATAGCTGGTTTTATTCTGCATTGCTGTGTAATGTGTTGCTGGGAGTTGTAGTCCTCTATACCTGGTGGTATTCTGCATTGCTGTGTAATGTGTTGCTGGGAGTTGTAGTGCTATATTGCTGGTGGTATTCTGCATTGCTGTGTAATGTGTTGCTGGGAGTTGTAGTCCTCTATATCTGACGGTATTCTGCATTGCTGTATAATGTATTGCTGGGAGTTGTAGTCCTCTATAGCTGGTGGTATTCTGCATTGGTGTGTAATGTGTTGCTGGGAGTTGTTGTCCTCTATAGCTTGTGGTATTCTGCATTGCTGTGTAATGTGTTGCTGGGAGTTGTAGTGCTATATTGCTGGTGGTATTCTGCATTGCTGTATAATGTATTGCTGGGAGTTGTAGTCCTCTATAGCTTGTAGTCAGTGACAGAAGTCCCGGGGTCACAATGGTTGCAGCTGTGTCTATGACCTCCCCCCTGTGTCTATGACCTCCCTCCTGTCTCATTGATATTACAATCCGCTGCACATCGTTCTCTGAGGTCCCGGCCCCGCCCATACACCCTATGCTGCCATCTGATTGGGTCCAGCTGTGCATGTCCCACCCCCGAGGTCCCCACATTGATTCAGCAGCTGGGCGGATGGATGGAGCAGGAGAGCTCTGTGTATATAGATGACATTACAGAGCCTCTAGGGGGCGCCCCCCCACAGTCCTCCAGTACTGACCTCCATGTCTCTGCCCCCAGGGGGAAGTCCGGCACCGTCGTGTGGCCCGCATGGTGGAGGAGGTGCAGAACGTCATGCTGGAGCTGACAGCGCAGATCAGTACCTGGGACTCCCGATATCAGAGCATCTCCGACTCCGGCATCCACAGCGATCACATAAAGGTGAGACACCCCCCCGATGTGACCGCAACCCCCCAACAGCGCAGGCATCCACATGACACCCCCCCCCCGATGTGACCGCAACCCCCCGACAGCGCCAGCATCCACAGCGACCACATAAAGGTGAGACACCCCCATGTGATCGCAACCCCATGACAGCGCCGGCCCACAGGGACCAGCCGGAGAGGGTAAAGTGGAACCACAACCCCATTGTCGCCGTTTCACGGACGCACGCAATTTGTTACCCGGGCATGTCGGGTGTCTACGTACTCGTTGTCGCCTCGTCTTTTATATTTTATTGGGGTTTGATAAGAAGTTAAGAACATAAAAATTTCCAACTTAAAATGTTATTCTTCAGGGTCTCGGCTTTCAGAGAATATCTCATGTTTGGGGGGTTTTAAGTAATTTTCAGGCCTAAAATGTGGAATATAACACGGGTGCAATAAATGAAAAAAAAAGGCCTCGGTCATGAAGGGGTTAATAACACCTCCTAGACTCCAATTCTGTCATTCTGAATGGAGAAAGCTGGTCGGATGATCAGTGGAATGTGACATATACCATGTGACCCGGGGGAATGAACCTTCACAGACTGGTTGTATGTCTGCTCCCCAATATGACCTCATCCTCTTAGCCCCTCCCCCACCTTCTCTCTCCAATATTCCCGATCTTGTCGCCGTATAATCTGCCTTCTGATGCAGTTTCACTTTTCCCCCGGACAGGTTTTGGCCCCCTCGCAGCTCCTGGTCACGGTTCCCCTTAAAGGTCTCAGCGGCTTTCGGCAAAGACGTTCTCGCCGTTGGCGGTATTACTCTCCCAGCGGCGTCCGCCTCCTGACCCCCATCATGGAGCCCGAGAAACTCCACCAATGGCTGGAAGTGGAGCAGTTCCAGAAGAGCACCCCCCAGTGGCATGAAGCTGATGTCAACATCCAGGGGGACTTGGTGCCGGCCCGGGTGGTGAATGTCTTCCATGGGCTCCTCCACCGAGCTATCCCTACCTGTAACTTGTCTGGTAAGAGGACCTGTCTCTGCCCCATGTGCCTCCTGCGTGTCTCTACTCTCCGCCTGTTTTCTCCATCTGTCCTCTCCATCTGTCCTCTCTGTCTGTCCTCTCCGCCTGTCTTCTGTCCTCTCCGCCTGTCCTCTCTGTCTGTCCTCTCCGCCTGTCTTCTGTCCTCTCCATCTGTCCTCTCCGCCTGTCCTCTCCGCCTGTCTTCTCTCCTCTCCGCCTGTCCTCTCTGTCTGTCCTCTCCGCCTGTCTTCTGTCCTCTCCGCCTGTCCTCTCTGTCTGTCCTCTCCGCCTGTCTTCTGTCCTCTCCATCTGTCCTCTCTGTCTGTCCTCTCCGCCTGTCTTCTGTCCCCTCCGCCTGTCCTCTCCGCCTGTCCTCTCCGCCTGTCCTCTCTGTCTGTCTTCTCTGTCTGTCTTCTGTCCTCTCTGCCTGTCCTCTCTGTCTGTCCTCTCCACCTGTCCTCTCCGCCTGTCTTCTGTCCTCTCCGCCTGTCCTGTCTGTCCTCTCTGTCTGTCTTCTGTCCTCTCCGTCTGTCCTGTCTGTCCTCTCTGTCTGTCTTCTGTCCTCTCTGTCTGTCTTCTGTCCTCTCCGCCTGTCCTCTCCGCCTGTCCTCTCCGCCTGTCCTCTCCGCCTGTCCTCTCTGCCTGTCCTCTCTGCCTGTCTTCTGTCCTCTCCTC